AACAAAAAAAGAGTCTTTCTATATTATTGATGGGAATATGAACTGGTATAACCACTAGGAAATCAGTATGGATAGCCCTCAAAAACCGAAAAATAGAAATTCCATTCAATTTAGCTCTTTCCAAAAGAGTTAAAGATATCATATTACAGCAATACATGCATACTCATGTTTATAGCAGCACAATTCATAATACTTAAATCTTGGAAGTGGTCTGTATGAACATCAGCAGATAAATGGATAAAGAAAATGTGTCATTTATGCACAGTAGATTACTTTGCCATAAAGGACAAATTTGAGTCATATGTAGGGAAATAGGTGCACCTTGAGATCATAAAATAAAGTGAGATAAAATATACATACAAGCCTAAATACTACATGTTTTTTCTTATATGAGAAATCAAAATCATATCAATTAAAGAGCAAAATAAAAGTTATGAAACAGAAAATATGAAGAGAGATTTTTTTACAAATGGGAAGGGGAACAGAGGTAGAGGGGGATTAGGAGTTGGTGAAATTCTAAAAGAATTAGGATGTGTCAAGTATGTGTACCAACTTCCCACAAAAATGTAATATTATATAACACAAATATGTACTAATATAAATGAAGAAATGCATAATGTTTATTTGTTCATTACAGTATAAAATAAAATAGACACTTAAGAATGCAATAGCAACAACAAAATAATAAAGCCACTATAAACCAAAAAAATTTTATTATGTATTAAAATTACAAATTATAGAATGGATATAAAAGACATCTCCAAAGAAGATATATGATTTAAATAGACATTTCTCGAATTAATTACATAAAACATGTATTCTTCACCTTAGTCATTAAAGAAATGCAAATCAAATACACAATAGATAGCATTTCACACTCACTAAAATGGCTATACTCAGAAAATAACAAGTGCTGGTGAGGATGTGGAGAAATTATAACCTTCATACACTGCTAATGGGATTGTAACTTCGCACAGTCACTTTGGAAAACAATTCAGAAATTTCTCAACAAATTAGATACAAATGTGACATACAACCCAGCAATTCTATGCCTACAAATCTAACCAAAAGAAACACAATTACATGTTCACTCAAACAGTTTTACATGCACACTTCTGGCATCATTATCCAAACTCAAAATAGCTCAATGTCCACTAATTTGTGAATGAACAAACCAAATGTGGTATTCTCACTAAATGGGATGCTATGCAGATATAAAATGGAGCAACATATTGATGAGTACTGTCACATGGATGAGCCTAAAAACTATGCTAAGAGAAATAATGCAGTATATGAGAGATCACATATTGTATGACTCCATTTATGTAAAATGTTCAGGACATACAAATTCTGTAGAGAGCTTATTAATAGTCACCTGGGCTGTGGAATACAAATACAGTGTGAGAGCATATAGGCATGAGGATGATGGCAGCATTCTAAAACTGAATTGTGATAGTGTTGCCTAACTATACATTTACAACAATGTATTTTTTGCACATTTTAAACTGATGAATTATGTGGAATATAAATTACACTTTAATAAATATTTATTTAATAATAAAGACTATAGTAGACTTTTATATATTCTTACCAACAATTACTTGATGAATTTGCTTTGGTGTCAAAATTATGCTGCAGTCCAGTTTTTCTTGGGGAGTGGCTGGGTGTGATTTAGGTCTTTTGAGAACCTGAAAAAATCATTTTTCCAAAATTCATTATTCAATATTAACAAAAAGTCATTTAAGAATACCCATAGTAAAAGAATATGTACAATACTGCACATACCGTTCTCTCCAGGGACACTCTCTCCTTGGATGCTAATTCCCTGGTACATAATAATCGATTAGTTTTCATGAAATGCTCTATTGAAGACAACTCCTTTTGTATTTCCTCTTGAGAGAGTGGGGGTGACTTCAGACCTGATGCTGGCAGCATGTCTACGTCTACAGTATCATCTGAATACACGCATTTCCTACTGAAATAATAATAAAAAGCAGTTGAGGTCAAGTCTTTTTAGAAAATAAATCTCTGAATCCAAATATTCACCATTGTATGCTATGGTTACAACAGTCATAGCTACTTAACCACACTGGTACACCAATCTGCAGAAATCTTCCTTTGCTAAGGAGATTCCCTTCTCAAACACTTAATAGAGGATGTTACGAGCTCTACTCCCACTCCGCTGCCACATTCGGAGAGAGTCCACAGTAAATGACTAGTATAGAACACAAGAGACAAGCCCCTCTGGCTCAAGGCAGGAACAACAATGTGGTATAATTTATGATCAAAAAATTCTGGGGCCAGAGATTTAGCTCAATGGTGCCATGCCTGCGCATAGGCTAAATGTGTAACTTATTTGTAATATATTCTTCCTCAGCTCTTTTTCCTGCCCTATTCTGCTTCCTCCATGGCAAAAAAGTTCCTAAGCATACTCCGCAAAAATCATAGGCACTGAAAGTCCTGTCTCAAGATCTGCTTTTGGGGAAACATACAGATATTTTCAAATAAAACACTAACAAAAGAAAATTGTTATAATTAAAGTAGTTCAATATTTTACTTCTACTGTACAATAAAATGTCATTCAAAACATTAAAAATGAAAAAGAAACTAAGACTAAGAAATGGAGAAAAATCTTATATTCACATGGAAAGGACTGAAATTTGACTCCTGTCACCCAATAAAAAATCAGTATCAGGCCAGGGGTTTGGCTCAGTGGTTCCACTGACTGCCTTGGAAACACAAGGGTCTGAGTTCGATCCCCAGTACCAAAAAACAAAAATCAATACCAGATTGAAAAAAGACCTAAATATGATATTAAACTACTAGAAAAAAAGAAAGGGGAAAGACTCAATATACAGAATGTTTTTTAAAAAATAAGAATTCAAAAGCACAGTCAACAAAAGCAAAAATAAATGGGTCCGGGGATTTAGTTCAGTGGTGCCACTGCCTGCCTCATAAGCACAAGGCTCCAAGTTCAATCCCTGGTACCAAAAAAAAAGCAAAAAGAAATGAACGAAAGTATATCAAACTGAACAAGAGGGTAGACGACCAACAGAATGGGGGAAAATTTCAAACTGTGCATTTTACAAAGGATTAATTTCCCAAACACATAAAATAACTAATTTTATAAAAAAACTACAAACTAACCTTAAATTGGGTTAATGATATTTCAAGGATGAAATTCAAATGGTCAAAATGATTTTTTAAATGCTCAATATCACTAGCCATGAGGAAAATGCAAATCAAAACTAAAATGAGATATCATTTCACCTAAGTTAATATGGCAATTATCAAAAAGACAAAAAATGACAGATGCTGGTAAGGATTTGAACAAAAAGAATTTGAAAGCACTGTTGATGGGATTGTAAGTTAGTATAGCCATTGTAAAAAAATCAAGGAATCTCTTCAAAAAATTAATAAGAGATCTATTACTATCAACAATCCCACTTCTGAGTATAGATCCAAAGGAAATGAAATTAGCATACCAAAGTAGCATATCAATTAGCATACCTGCATACTCATGTTTATTATGGCACTATTCATAATACATATGCTATAAAAACAGACTAAGTGCCCATTAACAGATGAATGGATCTATATGTATGTATAAAGGATATACAAAAAGGTATATATACAAAGGATACATATGTAAATATTATTTAGCCATGCAAATAATAAAATGCTATCACTTGCAGCAAAATAGATGAAACTGAAGGATATAATATTAAATTAAATAAGTCACATTCAGAGAGACAAATAACCACACATTCTCTCTCATAAGTAGGTCCTAGAAAAATCAACCTAAATATAGAGCAGCGATTACTAGAGGCTAGGAAGTTTGGGGCTAAGGAAGGTGGACACAGGAAGGTGGGATAATGGGTACCAAAGCACAGTTAGAGGGTTTAGGATTTAGATCAGTGGCACCGCACCCATCTTGCAAGAGCAAGGTCCTGAATTCGATTGCCAGTATAAAAAAAAAAAAAGCACAGTTTACAACAATCTATAAATTTTATGATGAAATAGAAAAAAGGAACTTGAAGTCTCCAAACACAAATAATAAGATGTATACATCAATCACCCTTATTTAATTAGTACATATTATATAATTGCACTGAAATATCCAGTAAATATGTACAATATTTGTTAAACAAAAAGTTGTAAGATTGTTTAGGGAGACAGAAATGTTAGCTATTCTGATTTTATCCTTTCTTTCCCTCCCCCCCATCTCTCTCTCTCTCTCTCTATATATATATATATACCAAACTTGTACAATGAATGAAAATAATAAATTTTTTAAAAGAAAAAGATAACTTTTCTGACTCTGTGGGCACCATGACTGAGGAATTGATCTTTACCTTGCTGCTTCTTTTTGCAGGCGTAAATGTCTTAAATATTTAATATGATTTGAATAGTAGTTTCGATGGACTCTCTTCTGTATTTTTTCAAATTCAGTATGTTCAAAATCAGGATCTATATAGTTATACCTTGGAATCTTTGTGAAAATTGTCCTACAATATGAGTAAGTCATGTTAAAATCTATACATATACATTTGTTCAAAAATTATTTATAGAGTATCTACTAGCCAATATTTATCTCAGGTGTTGGGCACAGTATATTGAGCAGAAGAGACTCTTCTCTAGTATTCTCACTCATACACTATTCTACATCAAAACATAAAAGAATTAGAGACCTAGTTAATTTCTTAATCTAATTGGAGAAAATCTCTTCTTTTGAGGTTACTCCAAAGCCATCCTTGAGTAAGCAACTTGGACAGTTCTACATTAGAGATCAGACTTCAAGAAATAAAAACTCACCCTGTTCAGTGTTTTTAAGTTTATTGCTTTTAGATCATAATGACTAAAATTAGAAAAAAAGAACAATGAATAATTTTGTCAAACATGTTACTTTCCTAAAACATTAGAGTTTATGAAATAACCATCAATAGTAAATCTATAGAAAGGAAGCAATCCATAAAAGAACTTCAAATTATATCTCATATTAACTGGCTTTGTGTTCTTCCTTTTTATTCATCATATATTTTCAGTAAAAAAAAAGGTATAATTATTCCCACCTTTTATCCTTTGTTTACTTCAATCCTCAGCAAATTTTAGCACTCATTAAGAGTGTCACCCTCAACAGTTAATTCCTAAGTATGAACCATTACATACATGTACTGAATATCCAACTGTAATTTATAAATATAATCGCATATTATATTAATCAAAAAATTTTTTAAATGTTCAAGGATCTAGAAATGCTAATTAGTCTGACATGATTATTACACATGCACATGTGTATCAAATTTTTAAAGTATAACTCATAAGTCCATACAGTCAAAATAATATGTAATTTGAAAAATGTAAAGAAATAATTCTGGCTGCATGGGCCTGATGATTTGTTGCATATTGCTTGAGGAACTCTACCACTTTCCTTGTTTCTGCAGGTACATACTAAAGTCAAATGAAAATATGACTCACAGTAAGTATTAGTCGTTCTCATAATTTATTTCACATAGTCAAATAAAAATTAATCATAAATTAATCTAATTTTTCTCCTCATTTTCCACAATTATTCAATGTTGACATGAAGACAGCTTTAACTAAGTTAAAGGTTTTAACAGACTAAGACAAAAAGAGGGGAAATGTTTAGTTATTCAAAGATAGTCTCTAATATTTAAATTTCCATTCAGGAGCTATGACACTTTACCATCCTATAAATCCTAGAAATAATTATTATACCTAAAGTCATGACAACTGAAAGGAGCACAAAGAGATACAGAAAACAGCAGTAGATTAAATACCTTAAGTAACAAGGAGCAATGAACATAGCTAGATCCTAAATCCTTACCATTTCCTCAAAGAAAAAACAACTGGAAATATACTCACAACTTGAAATAGATGATTTTAAAAAAATACAAAAACAGGAACAAAATTTACATGTGAATAAAGTTTCCCTCATCTATTTACTGAAAATTCTAAGGAATACTACCCATATGCATGATGACATTCTAAGCACAGGGCATACTGTAGTAAACCAACTTTGACAAAAATTCCCACCTTTTTTCTTTTCAAAATTTGAAAAGTTAAGGGGCCAGCGATTTAGCTCAGTGGTTCTGCCACCTGCTTCTCAAGCGCAAGGACCCAGGTTCGATCCCCAGTACCAAAAAAAAAAAAACATTGAAAAGTTAAGATGCATTAGAAATTAAATAGCATTTGTCTATGGCCACCCTGAATGCACCCTATCTCCTCTGATCTCGGAAGCTAAGCAGAGTCAGGCCTGGTTAGTACTTGGCTGGGAGAAATTAAATACCATTTACAATTACGAACATGAAATACAAAACAATAAAATATCTTTCATTACTTAGAGTTACTAACTATTAGCCAGGAATAAAACAACTAAATTTTTTCTACTCATGTGAAAAACAGTTCACTAATCAAAGTAAATGTGACCATAGAATGCAAAGGAACTGCGCTAAGCTTTGTTTTTGAAAAATTCTGGAACTTTTGGACCATTGCAGGGGTGGGGAAAAAAAGAAGAAGCAGAAGAAGCAAGATATATATATCTTGGTCAGGTACAAATGATGAAAATGTGATTATGTGTATCTAAAATCTATCTATAAATGTTTTGCAAAAAATGAATACAGACTCAGAAACAAATTAATACTAAATTAAGACATTATATCGCTCTGTATACATATTTATATAACCTTAAGAACAAGAAGGATATAAAAATATTTTCAAAAGCATCCACTAAAGGGCAGAAAGGATATAATAATCCAAAAGGAAACACATATTTTATAATATATAATTATTTTAAACGAAGTATGAGCTATTTTTTATGTTCCTGTATTTTACCACACTTGTCAAAATTTTTTAAAAGGCAGATGGGGAATTTGTAAAATAAAAATACTAAGATAATCTACAAAAAAACTAAAATTTTCCCACTGTAGATAAATAAAATAGTCCTACAAATCAAATAGTATTATTTTTAAATGGCTGAAAAATTAAGCAAGCTTAATGATTTCCTTAAAGTCAATAGACAAGTGGAGAAAGCTCAGAGCTCTATCAAATTTACATAGTCAACAAACGCATTTAAGCAGGCAGACAAGAAACCTACTTTGGACTGAAATGTACACAAAACATTTCTGGGATCAGGCCCCACATAAAGATATCAATATGCATTGGTTATTTCTGACTAAAAATTGGTAAAATAGTAATTTCCTTGAGGTTTGGATAAATTTAAATTAAGTTTTATAAACCTTCATTATCCTAACCCAGGAAGTTTTAGTTCAGTTAATGCAAGGTAATTCGATGTGTCTCTGAGGGGGAAAACGATACTGACAATGACAATGATTGGCTATTCACAATTTTACCTTTTATTACATAAGTAATCTGAAGGTGTCAACCCTTCTTAATAAACACAACGATTCTGAGGACTTGTTAGATTCCAAAGGTGATTATTTCTTTCTTCTATACTTGTCATTGGTACACTCTAAGGATTATTTTGTATACCATTCACTGCTCAGCAAATATACAGAAGAGATGTGAAGTTGAAATAAAATAAAACACACTGACATTCAACAACTATCTCACTCCACATATAACAAAATAAGAAGATAAAATATTATTGGTGTCATCATTAATTTTTTGACATCAAAAACTAGTCAGACCTCTGCAAATCATGTTGGATATGTCTTTCAAAATTCAAATATCACGTTACCTGAACTGTTTATGATATTCTCCTGGCCTGAGACTTGCAGCTCGGTCATTGGGAAGGGCAATCAGTGCACCTTTCATTGTCTCTTCATTTGACCGATGATCATGAAGGTGCGTCCTCGCTGACTGAAGCATTGCTACAGGTGCATAGTCCTCACATTTTACCAAGTCTTTGGCCATGAACTGTCCCGTGGGATTACTTATCAAAGGGGATATACCTTTTGTAGAATAGAATAATAAAATTATATAGGGTACTCTAAATTGTATCTTTCAGAAAGATAGCCATTAATTAATCAACACAAAATAACTGGTTTGCATTGAAATGTTAAGCCCAAAAGAAACACATTCAGAAAATCCCAATATGTGGACCTGTACACAGAAATTTAGCAATTAATACTAAAATAAATACTAAAATGAATAAAAATAAAATATGATAATTGCGAAGATTAAGGATGATCCATATAAAACTGAAAGGTTGAAGAAACTGTATCAGTTATTTAACATGGTTCAATATATAAAAGATTGTAGCAAGTTGGATAAAATAGCAGCAACAAGAAAATCTACGGAATGGTCAAAATTAATTTATAGTATAGCCTCAAGCAAAACAGCAGAAATTAATATGAAAGCCATAAAATATTTCAGGAGCTATATAGGTTACTAAGCCAAAAGTGTGATCCTCAGAAATGTAACTACATCTACGGGAGTATGGTAGGAACACAAATCTTTGGGCCCTAATATTACCTACTAAATAAAGCTTAATAGTCAATAAAAATATATAATTGAAAGGCCTTTAGATGATTTTAATTCATGCTAAAAGATAAGAATTACTGAATTACATTCACACACACATAATATATGGTAAAAGTCATATATTGGCATACCAGGATTAATTTTCATCACAATTTTCTTAGTGAAAGGCTTACAGACGCTTGTGAAATTTAAATTTATGTGATGAAATGGTTTCATCGATATAGACTGCAAATTTTTATCCACCACTGGGCCAACAATCTCTATCACCTGTTTCACTTTAAAGGATCCAATTTGATGTGGAATAAATGAGCATATCACACTCTATAAAAAGAGGAAAAATAATATTTTATTGACAGGAAACAATAAAAGTAAATCCCAAAAATTCTTTATTTTAATTTCATGTTTACCATGGTGATATGAATATAAATTATGAACATTCAGCATTGACAAACACTTATGATATTACTGGAAATTTATTTAACAGAAATTAGGACTATCAAACCAAAAGACTTCAAAAATAATAATTATGGATCTCCAAAAAATCTACTTCTCTAAAATTAAAACACTGGCAAAAATATGCCAAATATCAACTTTATCAGGGATTTCAAAATTATCTAAGAATATACTGAAGTCCAAGGAGTCATTTTTTAAAGTTACAGAATCTCTGAAAGACGAGAAGTTATTGTGGCAGTTTTACTTGTTCTAATTCCATTTTCTTTAAGTTTCATAATCTTTTAAAAAAACAAAACAAGCAAATAAAAAGCATTGCAACTGTGGTAGCTGTGAAAAATCATTAGCCTAGCAACCAGTGGAGTAAGAAGAATAGTTTGGAGATTTCTAAAAGCCCCATCTTCAGAGAATTGTACCTTTTCGTTTTGTCAGCTGGCTGAAAAGTCAATTATAAGGGATATTATTGTTTTACGGGATTTGTAGCTCACCCTGTATGAATTTTTGAATATCACAGCAACATGAAGTAGCATAATAAGAGGATAACAGAAGATAAATGGTTGAATAAATAAGAAAACACTTGAGAATAAGGTAATTATATGGAATTTGAAAAATGTTGATATATTCCTAAGAATCTAGTTTGCCATACACATCTGTAAGACTGCAGACATGCTCAGGAACTACTTGAGAAAATTCTAATCTCTTATCTCTGTCTGACTGTGAGGTTCCTTACAAGGCACTGAAAGCTATAAAGAATTGTAGACTTCTTGCCAAAATATTGAAGACATCTCTTGATAGTCTTACACAGAGGCTCTTGAAATAGTCTATAATATTATTAGTCCAAAGAACTTAAGAGAACCTCTGTGCAACCATTATCTAAACACTTAATTAGCTGAGTAGAGATGTTATTGGCTATACATAATAAAGAATACAGCTAATACAGAATTAGCCTCAAAGGTCACTAAATAAACTAAACAACTATCACAAAAAGCAACAATAAACCTTGGAGTGATATGATTTTTACTTTAAAAAATTATGTCATTTAAAATGCCCAGTTTTCAGGCCAGGAATTTAGCTCAGTGGTTCCACCATCTGCCTCTCAAGCAAAAGGACCCAAGTTTGATCCCCAGTATGGAAAAAAAAAAAGCCCAGTTTTCAACCGAAAATTATGATGCAACCATGCAAACAGGAAAGTATGGCCAATCCACAGTTAAAATAAAACAATAGATAATGCCCCTAAGGAAATTCAAATGTTGAACATATTAGACAGAGATGGAAAGTAAACTATTATTAATATACTCATAACTAAAAGAAAAATCAGTCTAAAGAATTAAAGGAAGTGTACAGCTGGGCATGGTGGTGCATGCCAGTAATCCCAGCACTCGGGAGGTTGAGGCAGGAGGATTTCTGTGAGTTGGAGACCAGCCTGGGCTACAAAGTGAGTTCAAGTCAGTCTCAACTACATAGTGAGAACCAGTCTCAAAAAAAAAAAAAAAAAAA